ATAACGTAATGCCCTCCTCTGAATCTCATGTACGTCTGGAGTCCGCAGTGGATACACCACAGCCATACTCCCCACTTTACTATAAACTAATGAATTTACTATTATTGCCCGCTGTTGTAAGGTGACGCCCCCCGCCGTAACTCCTTAACCTTTTTACTGCCTTCTCCACCCACCTCCGAATTAAACCTGCCTAGCCTCCCGCGCATCTGTCTGTATGTAACTCCACAAATTTTTAGCCTAGCCACTACTTCCCACCAAAACTCCAACCCCAAGCCCCCATCCCCCACCCAGGCACCCACCTCCAGCAAACTTGATTTTGCTCTGTTCACCCGCATGCCAGATGCCCCACCAGATGCTCCAACACACTTTCCACTGTACGCAATCCCTCCACTCCGGCTATCAGAACAGTGGTATCATCCACATACCCCACCACATATATACACCCATCCTTCTCCGCATTTAAAATCCCCCTCCCCTCAACGAGCCCATAAAATGGATGCTGCATACAACAAACAATATTTGAGACAGGGGACACCCCTGTCTCAAACCCCTCTCCATCCTTACAGGCCTTCCCAACCTGCCATTAATTTGTACTCGCACCATTGCAGATGAATACATTGTATCAACCCACCTCACCACCCCCATGCCAAAACCGAGATGCAACAAACTAGCCCTCAGAAAGTTTCTATCCACACAGTCGTATGCATTTTCCCAACAATGCCCAAAAGCCCTCCCCCGTTGAAAACCCTCCAAAAAACCCCAAATGTGGCCATTCCCAAATCTCTCATGCTTCTGCCCGGGAATACCCATCTGCCCCTTATGAAAAAACCCCCCACCTAACACCTTCTTCATCCTATTGCTCAGTATCTTCGGGGAAAATCTTGCAGTGGGCCCACACATTAGCGAAATAGCTCTGTACTCATCAATACTCTTCCCTCTTGCTTTTTGCTTTACTAATACGACTACACCCGTTCGCTGAGTCTGTCCCTTTAACTGTTCCTTCCCGTCGCATACAATTCATGACCCTCACCGGGACAGTACTTAATGTGCTCCCATTGAATTCTAAAAAAATCTTTTGATATCCCATCTATAACCCGGTGCCTTGCCAGTACTCATGTTGAACACAGCCTCCTTTCAACTTCCCCTTTGCTAATCTCACCTCCCATCTCCATGCCCTCCTCTCCACATGAACCCTAAACCTCTCCCCCCCACACCTCCTCAATAGCATCCCCCTTCCTCCCCTTCCCCACTTCTTTTGGAACCAGAAATCAGCATAATTGCTCATGCCTTCTGTAGTATTCAGTCCCTGTCCCTTATGATAACCCACCCATATCCTCACTTACCTCCAAGTTTAAAATAGTCAAAATCCTTCTGCCTTACCCTAAAAACCTCGCAAAACACTTCCAAAGGTTTATCCCCCCCACAGCACAGCCTCCTTTCCCCGCCCTTACAAGTACCGCATCAAATCTCCCATTATGTAATTCTGCCAACCTGTCCTTGGTTGCACCATGTTTCCGTACTGCCGCCCCCCCCCCCTTCCTCAAAACCCACCATTTAGCTGATATTAAAAATAATTTTGCAGCCATACCTTCACCCTGCCTTTTCCCCTTCCCTTCCTTTTATAAAAACCTGCTACACCCGGTTTAGCGTTGCCTTTCCCACCATTCTAAGACACACGACTCCCCCCCTCTCTAGAATCCCAAAAAGTTTGCCACCATTCCCCAAAAGCCATACTCCCCCTCCTCATCCTCACGAGTCTTGCATTTAATTTCCAAAAACCCGATTGTATCCTAACCATACCCTCCCAATCAAGATCTGCCATAACTGCCCTATGATCAGAAAGCCCCACATCAAAAGCCCTGCTTCCAACACACGTACGGTTTCCGTTGCATAGATCCTGTCTAATCCTGCAGCAAAATCCCGTCTGACAAACGTATACTCAACCTGCCAACCCCCCCTCCCCACAACATCCAAAACCCCCATGTCTCCAAAACATTACGTAACAAGCCCAACATACCCCCCGACCCCCTCGGTTCCACATCCCCCCCCTAATAACAAAATTTCCCAATCTCCCCTATGACAGTGACTAAAGGTAAACCCTTAAATAGTACATCAAAATTCTCTCACAAAGTTCTCCTTGACTCGTGCGTTGCCATCCGCCGGCATATACACTCCTATAAAACAAACCCTCGTTGCACCCCATTCTCCCTCCACCAGCACGACCCTCCCCCCTCCTCCCACCCCAAAATACGCAATGAACTGGTTTCCTTTACAGTCAAGGCAGCCCCACCTTTCAACCTCAACCAGCCACTCACATACAACTTATATCCTTTCAAAGACAACTCACAACCAAACTTATAATTGTGCTCCTGAATGAAACATATATCTACATTAAATCTCTTTAAAAAACCATTCCACCCATACTTTTTTAAACCCTCGGCTCTCAGGCCATTAACATTGATCGTTACAACCTTGAATTATGACAGTAAAGGCGGCTTGCCCCGCCGCCTTGGAATGGCACCCGCGTGACCTGGCTGCTGACTAGAGCCCCGTTTGTCACCTTCTCTGTCCAGTTCCCCCCCGTTATCCTTTGAACCTTTCAGTACTTCAGCACCGCTACACCCACTCCCCGGGGGGATCCAACCTGGGCTTCCAAGATTTCTTCCCAGGTCTCTGCCTGGCGTTAAGACGTCATCCATATCAGACGTCTCAGCTGTTCTCTTGCGTAAACCCTCCGTCTCCACATGTAACCTCCTCTTCCATGCACGCTCTGTGCACCTCAGCCACTACCGTGTGCTTTTTCCCCCTCATTGCACACGGTCTTCCCACGTCCCGATGAGACTGTAGTCTCCTCCAATGAGCGTCACGCTGCTCATCATCCAGACTCCCTCCACCTCACTCATGAAGGTATTCAAAACCTCATCCAGCATTCCATCCTCTTGCATTACAGGCTCACCGTCATCGTTCGTCGTCGTCGTCTGCTCAGGCCCCCTCCCCACAGGTAAAAGTAAACACATGAGTCCGTCTCCGCCTATGCTTTATCCACTTCCTCACTCCCAAATGCACGATGCCTGCCTTTCGGCCGCATCTGTCTCCTGCACCACAGGACCCAACTGCTGATCCACCGGTGTTGGCATCTGTTCCCTCCGTCCTGGTTTCCTATGGCATTGGGTTGCCATATGGTCAAATGATCCGCACAGCCTACAATTCCGCCTCTGTCCTGCCCTAGTATACGTTTGCCTGCGTTCGGAACTCTTCCAGTAAAACATACGAAGGAATTGATTGCCGTAACGTCATCTTCAGATTGATGGATCCCTCAGGCAGTCCCACATAAGGCCCATCCTTCCACACTCCCAATTCTGCCGCATGAATCTTGCCATAACGACGGAAGACCGAAACCACATCATACTCTGTAGCTTCAAAGGGCACATTCCTGACTTTTACGTATGTCACATAGCTGGATACATCATGTAGACATACCTCCACTGCTGTATTCACGGTCATCCTCTTCTCGTGGTACTTGTCAACTATGCTAGAGTAAAATCCAGCATTTATAAATTTGATGAAAATCCTCGTAACTCCGTTAACAGCCACACCATAAAGCGGTTTTATGTCTTTTTGTTCTTTATGGGCCCCGCAGGTAAGTGTCTTATTCCTTCCAACTTTTTTAATGTTTTTTCCTACTTTTAAAGCCCTCTTTCGAATAATCGTAGGGAGTAGCACCTACATTGTAGAACTGCTTAGGGCACCACGTACCAGTTCCACACAGACAGTATTCACACGTCTGCCATGTCTATCCGCCATGTTGATTGCTCAAAACAGGCAAACTGCGCAGAAAATCAACTGAATCGGGTGCGTCTGCGCAGCACGTCCACACGGCGCGGAAGCGATGAGGACAATGTACCAGATATATTAAGCAAATTTCCCGAATTTTCTTGCAACAGATAAGTGAACTGTAGATACAAATCTAGATGAACTCCAGTAAACCCTCTTGGGGCCCAGTTCCTAGGCTGATCCTGTATTCACATGCTCTTGCACTACCATCCACAGGATGGATATGGGGTGCACAATAAACTAGCCACTTCGGCGGCAAAATCTAATAATCTTCAGATGTTGCCTCCAGGTTCACTGCAGCCAGACCAGACACTCTTATCACGTAGACCCTGACCCTCATGCTGCAAGTTCCTGTTATAATATCCACCAGGAGACAAGGCAAGTGTCTCCTGACATGGGTATTAATCACCTAGATGACCACCAAGTGACCTTGAACCCACTATATGTACTTCATCTTCTTCATATATCTTTATATTGGAGGGAGAAAATCCCAGGAAAGGTGATATATCTCATAAATATATATCCCTATACTACTTTTGTGTTCTCCATAACTCTTAGAATATTCAAACATTTCCTCATCTAAACTCACAAATAATTAGTCCACATAATTATTGCTGAAGAATTTTAATAAAATTAAAAAAATAATGTTGAATTTTCCTTTCAGTATAAATGCCGACATACTTCTGAAAATCTCTAGATCCGAGGAACTGGAGGCACGGTCTCCACCACCAACTCAATACTCACTGCCTTCCACTTCCATAATGCTGCAAATCCTCAACAAATTTAGCTCTAACAGTAAGTTTAAAAGACTGAATTGCTTCATGCTACTGTAATTCAGGTAAGAATGCATAAACAATACTGAAAGAAACATAAGCCTTAAATAACAACAGTTACAAAATAATAAACAGTAGCAGTTAACACTGGGCTGGTCGAGCAAAGATCAACTGGTCAGACAGGGATACAAATGGACCAGTCAGAGGTATAAATTGGCCAAAGGTAAAAATATGCCGGTCAGAGAAGCAAATTGGCTAGTCAGGGATATAAATTGGGAAGCCAGTGGTACAAATTGGCCAGTCAGAGGGTACAAATTGGCCAATCAGGGGTACAAATTGGCCAGTCTGGGGTACAAATTGGCCAAATGTAAAAATTTGCCAGTCAGGGGTACAAAGTGGCCAGTCAGGGGGTACAAACTGGCAAGTCAGAGGTACAAACTGGCCAATCAGAAGTACAAATTGGCCATTCAAAGGAGCTAGAGTAGCATTTACAAGTCAGTCATCCTACGGACACCATCACTACAACACCACACGTGAGCCTGGTAAGAATGACTGCCAGTGAGCTGAGTTTTGTTCTCTCTCCACATGATGTATTGACGTATTGAGAGTACCAGTGAGTATATGATGTTGGTGTGGAGTGATGATTGTTCAGTGTGATAACTTAAGAATGGAGGAACACTGCAGCAGGCCTACTAGCCCATACTTGGCAGGACTTGGTCAAACCCTAATCCACTAACAAAAATATTCGCCCTACCCATCATCAGTGTTACCCAAGCAATATACTTTCATAACCTTTTTAACTTAAATGCAAGTTACACTCAGATCCATCCCCTCTCACTCATGCATTTAGCCAACCTACATTTGAAGCCACCCAAGCTTTAAACTTCAATGACCCTGTTGCGTAGACTGTTCCACTCATCGACTATATTTCCAAACCAATACTTTCCTATATCCTTTCTAAATCTAAATTTGTCCAATTTGAATCCATTATTTCGAGTTGTTTCTAGAAGGGGTTCCTCAGAACCTTATTTATACCTCCCTTATTTATGCCCATCTTCCACTTATTCCTTTCAATCATGTCTTCCCCATTCTTATAAATTCTACGTCTTACAAATCTATATTCGTATGGAAGATTTCTTATGCTATATATTGATTCTGTCATTCTTCTTTGAATGTTCCCTAACGAATTTATATCTATTGACATGACTCACGAAATCTTAATGACACGTTTGCAAAAAAAACCATCCCACGGGGGGTTTTTTGAACCCGGGTTTGAGACTCTCTGACCACGGGTTCAAATCCCCCCCTTTGTTGGTTTATACCCATTCTGTAATAATGAATTATTACAGATTCTGAGCTGCATAATTTAGTGAGGCCTTATAATGATGTGTGAAAAGTGTATTATAATCCTGGACTTCTGTTGCTAATATCGCTGTTAAAACCCCGTAATCTGTTTGCCCTTTTTACGTAGCTTAGGCATTGCTGTCTTGGGTTTTAAAGGGTTTTGTTACCATTACCCCCCAAGTCTTTTCCCCATTCGTGTGGGCAAGTTTTACTCATTTTTTTTATAAGCTTAGGGGTTTTTACATTCCCGGTTAGGACTTTGATTTTTGAGCTACATGAACTGCATCTACCCCTTTTCTGCCCGACATGGTTTTTCTGAAACCCCCTCTGAATCAAATTTTTGCCTATTTTGGTATCACCAAAATTTTCATCACTTGTTTTTTTCATCCAAAATCTTAAAGTTATTGTGAAAAACGATTCCTAAAAAAATGATCCCTTGGAACCCCACTTTGAACCCCATTGATTTCCCCCCTTTATGCACATGCTTCCTGTCGGGGCAGCCAGTCTGCCCCGATCCATGACGCCTTTTCTTCGATACATGAGCTGCCACTCTCTTTAAAAATTCTTTGATGATGTTTAGTAGTGATGATGTTTTTTGGGGTGATGTTTAGTGGGAGACGTTTTTGGTGAGACTGTTTGTAGTGGGGGACGTTTAGTGGTGATAACTGCTTTTAGTGATGACTGTTAGTGGTGTGACTGTTGAGGTGTGACGTTTGTGGGTTTTATATGTTTAGTGGTTGATAATGCTTTTTAGTGAGATGTTTAGTGGGGATGACTGTTTTTGTGGTGATGACTGCTTATAGTGATGACTGTTTTGTGGTGATGATGTTTGTGGTGAGCTGTTTTTGGTGATGACTGTTTGTGGTGATGACTGCTTTGTGGTGTAAAAAGCTTAGTAGTGATGATTGTTTATGGTGATGATGTTTTGGGGGTGATGGGCCCATGGTGATAATTCAGTAGGATGATTGTTTAGTGGTGATGACTGTTTAGTGGTGAGATGTTAGTGGTGATGACTGTTTAGTGGTGTGATGTTTAGTGGTGATGCTGCTTAGTGGTGAAACTGCTTAGTGTGATGATTGTTTAGTGGTGAGACTGCTTAGTGGTGATAATTCGTAGTGATGATTGCTTGGGTGATGTGCTTTGTGGTGATAATGCTCAGTAGTGATGATTGTTTAGTGGTGATGATGCTTAATGGTGATAACTGCTTAGTATTGAGGGCTGTTTAGTGGTGATGACTGCTTAGTGGTAAACTGCTAGTAGTGATGATTGTTTTGTGGTGATGACTGCTTAGTGGTGATAACTGCTCAGTAGTGATGACTGTTTAGTGGTGATAACTGCTCAGTAGTGATGACTGTTTAGTGGTGATGACTGTTTAGTGGTGATAACTGCTTAGTAGTGATGACTGTTTAGTGGTGATGACTGTTTAGTGGTGATGACTGTTTAGTGGTGATGACTGTTTAGTGGTGATGACTGTTTAGTGGTGATGACTGTTTAGTGGTGATTACTGCTTAGTGGTGATGACTGTTTAGTGGTGATGACTGTTTAGTGGTGATGACTGTATAGTGGTGATGACTGCTTAGTGGTGATAACTGCTCAGTAGTGATGATTGTTTAGTGGTGATGACTGCTTAGTGGTGATAACTGCTCAGTAGTGATGATTGTTTAGTGGTGATGACTGCTTAGTGGTGATAACTGCTTAGTAGTGATGACTGTTTAGTGGTGATGACTGCTTAGTGGTGATAACTGCTCAGTAGTGATGATTGTTTAGTGGTGATGACTGGTTAGTGGTGATGACTGTTTAGTGGTAATAACTGCTCAGTAGTGATGACTGTTTAGTGGTGATGACTGCTTAGTGGTGATAACTGCTTAGTAGTGATGACTGTTTAGTGGTGATGACTGCTTAGTGGTGATAACTGCTCAGTAGTGATGACTGTTTAGTGGTGATGACTGCTTAGTTGTGATAACTGCTTAGTAGTGGTGACTGTTTAGTGGTGATGACTGCTTAGTGGTGATGACTGCTTAGCGGTGATAACTGCTCAGTAGTGATGATTGTTTAGTGGTGATGACTGCTTAGTGGTGATGACTGTTTAGTGGTGATGACTGCTTAATAGTGATGACTGTTTAATGGTGATAACTGCTCAGTAGTGATGACTGTTTAGTGGTGATGACTGCTTAGTGGTGATGACTGCTTAGTAGTGATGACTGCTTAATAGTGATGACTGTTTAATGGTGATAACTGCTCAGTAGTGATGACTGTTTAGTGGTGATGACTGCTTAGTGGGGATGACTGTTTAGTGGTGATAACTGCTTAGTAGTGATGACTGCTTAGTACTGATGACTGCTCAGTAGTGATGACTGTTATGTGGTGATAACTGCTCAGTGGTGATGACTGTTTAGTGGTGATTACTGCTTAGTGGTGATGACTGTTTAGTGGTGATGACTTTTTAGTGGTGATAACTGCTCAGTAGTGATGACTGTTTAGTGGTGATGACTGCTTAGTGGTGATGACTGTTTAGTGGGGATGACTGTTCAGTGGTGATGACTGCTTAGTAGTGATGACTGCTCAGTAGTGATGACTGTTTAGTGGTGATAACTGCTTAGTAGTGATGACTGCTCAGTAGTGATGACTGTTTAGTGGTGATGACTGTTTAGTGGTGATGACTGTTTAGTGGTGATGACTGTTTAGTGGTGATGACTGTTTAGTGGTGATGACTGTTTAGTGGTGATGACTGTTTAGTGGTGATGACTGTTTAGTGGTGTTGACTGTTTAGTGGTGATGACTGTTTAGTGGTGATAACTGCTCAGTAGTGATGACTGTTTAGTGGGGATGACTGCTTAGTGGTGATAACTGCTCAGTAGTGATGACTGTTTAGTGGTGATAACTGCTCAGTAGTGATGACTGTTTAGTGGTGATGACTGTTTAGTGGTGATAACTGCTTAGTAGTGATGACTGTTTAGTGGTGATGACTGTTTAGTGGTGATGACTGTTTAGTGGTGATGACTGTTTAGTGGTGATGACTGTTTAGTGGTGATGACTGTTTAGTGGTGATTACTGCTTAGTGGTGATGACTGTTTAGTGGTGATGACTGTTTAGTGGTGATGACTGTATAGTGGTGATGACTGCTTAGTGGTGATTACTGCTCAGTAGTGATGACTGTTTAGTTATGATGTCTGTTTAGTGGTGATGACTGCTTAGTGGTGATAACTGCTTAGTAGTGATGACTGTTTAGTGGTGATGACTGTTTAGTGGTGATGACTGTTTAGTGGTGATGACTGTTCAGTGGTGATGACTGTTTAGTGGTGATGATTGTTTAGTGGTGATGATTGTATAGTGGTGATAACTGCTCAGTAGTGATGACTGTTTAGTGGTGATGGCTGTTTTAGTGGTGATGACTGTATATGGTGATGACGGGTTTAATGGTGATGACTGTTTAGTGGTGATGACTGTATAGTGGTGATGACTGTTTAATGGTGATGACTGTTTAGTGGTGATGACTGTATAGTGGTGATGACTGTTTAATGGTGATGACTGTTTAGTGGTGATGACTGTTTAGTGGCGATGACTGTATAGTGGTGATGACTGCTTAGTGGTGATAACTGCTCAGTAGTGATGACTGTTTAGTGGTGATGACTGTTTTGTGGTGATGACTGTTTAGTGGTGATGACTGTTTAGTGGTGATGACTGTTTAATGGTGGTGACTGTTTAATGGAGATGACTGTATAGTGGTGATGACTGCTTAGTGATGATAACTGCTCAGTAGTGATGACTTTTTAGTGGTGATGACTGTTTAGTGGTGATGACTGTTTAGTGGTGATGACTGTTTAGTGGTGATGACTGTTTAGTGGTGATGACTGTTTAGTGATGATGACTGTTTAGTGGTGATGACTGTTTAGTGGTGATGACTGTTTAGTGGTGATGACTGTTTATTGGTGATGACTGTTTAGTGGTGATGATTGTTTCATGGTATGACTGTTTAGTGATGACTGTTCTGTAGTAATAACTCTTTAGTGATGATGACTGTTCTGTAGTAATAACTGTTTAGTGATGATGACTGTTCTATAGTAATAACTGTTTAGTGATAATGACTGTTCTGTAGTAATAACTGTTTAGTGATGATTGTTCTGTAGTAATAACTGTTTAGTGATGATGACTGTTCTATAGTAATAACTGTTTAGTGATGATGACTGTTCTATAGTAA